TGTTCAACTCAACTCAACAAACAACAACAAAGTTCTGGGAAGGGAGTCGTACTGATATCACCATTTCTCACATCACGATGCTGTATCCTGCCTCCAATAGGCAGTTCCAAAAACGATATAAAAGTAAGTTCGACCTTTTTTGATGTCTTTTATTCCGTGTTCATATTCGCAATACTGACGTTTGCAGAAACCGTCGAAAGGAAAGGTTGTGTATAGACCTGGAGGATGGCAGAACAAACAAAGCAAACACAATGTGACAAAAGTAAAGTGAATATCTGGAGGACTGGCAAAATCGGGGGAAGGGAGAGAAACAACATCACCCGCTGTTGAAAGTTCTGCGTGTCTTACTTTTGGAACAAGATGTTCAATACTCCGCTTGAACGTACTGCAAAATTCAGTATAATAATTAGCATATTGTATATTTAGTACTATTTTACATAGGAAATAATAAATAACTCAAAGATATTCGTTCCTTAAAATTAGGAGGGCGTTATGTACACAAAGGAAGAAAGAAGGAAAAGGAAAAAAGAACAGGAACAATAAACATGAACGAACATGACCCCCTCCCGGTGTAATTTCACCCACAGTAGCGCGATCGCGATCGCGCGATCGCGAAGTCTGAACGCGCTCTAACGACGTTTTCGACGTCAGTCGATACGTATCTAATCTTCTGTCGTCGGTTACGTCGATTACGTCGACACGTGGATCGATACGTATCTAGTCTCTAGTCGTCGAAAACGTCGGTTACGCAGCTTTCGTCGGTTACGTCGGATCAATACATATTTCGTCTCGTGAAGTAGTCAAAACGTCAGTTTCGTCGGTTGCGTCGACGTCGACGACGACGTCGCACGTACACAGCCTGAAATGTTCCATATCTGCGCCCCACAGTCAACATCGCACTCGCGTGAATTATTGCAATCGCGACTATGAGGCTATGACCTAAAGCTGCGTTCAAACTTCGAGTGAGCGTTCAGCAGCGTTTCGAGCGACTAGGAAAGTATTGATATCGATCTAGCGTACGCCAGCGTATAGCAGCGCTTTCGCGGGCAGTTTTGCTCAAGCTCGAATTGCCCGCGAGAGGGGAGGGGGGGGGGAAGAATAAGGGCAGCTTTCGACTATTCTAGCTCCTCTTCATTTCAGATTAATGGCTTGGAGTGGCTTTATTTGCAATATTGTCTTGTGACGGGACTTTACATGCTGGAGCCTTGGGAGCGGAAACTTTTTACAAGTGCTGCTATTCTTTCAGTGTCTATTGTTGTGGCTTTCGTTATATACGTCGGGAAATCGCTACCGTTGTGAGGTAAGTTCTGATTTGATAAAAATTAGCTCCCATTATGTATTACAGCCATTATTCTGTTCGGCCCACGAAGCTGTTTTCTCTGATTTTAATTCAATGCAAGTGCCCTTCCGATTTCGATCCATAGTGTCACTAGTTGACATTTGTCATTCCCATATTTGTATCTCTAGTGTAACTAAGAATTTTTGTACATTGTTGAAGTGTTTCTGCAACTATATAGCTTGGCTAGTCCTTGTGCTTTGCGTCTCCGACGCTATAGTGCTGTGTTATAGAGGCATAAAGTATAGGTATTTATCTGGCAATCGAGGAGAATCGGTTCCGGCGTCATAGGCGACTCGGCATTCCGAACAGTTGCGCGCCAAAAGAGTGGATGTGTATCGATCAGTGCCGGTCGTCAGCGACTGCGAAAACTGGCGATCCACCGCCGATCGATACCCATCTACTCTTTTCGCGCGCAATCGCCGGAAACGCCGAGTCGCCCAGATCGCCGAATCTCCACAGAGAGTTAAAGCGCCTTCTGTCCCCCTGTCCATTGTGCTCCCATACGCGATAGCTTGACTGCATCCTTAGTTTGTGGCACCAGCCGCTCAGTCGCGTGACTTGTGCGATTCATTGATGAACAGGGTTTACGGACTGCTTGAACCCAATCCCCGCAATCGCGTCAATTTTTCGCTCTTCTTGCGCTGCCTATATACTGGCTGCTATGACTTCTCACATTTTAACCTTTCTTGCCCTACAATTCTCTCACCTTTCTCATAGCCCTTTGAAAGGATTCATCCTCTGGGCCAGCAGGTAATCCTGACACAGATTTTGATGCCCTCTGCTCTGTCTGTCCACATAACATGGGTTCATAGAAAGACCATGGAAAGAAAGTGTGAAAGCTCGTATCCGGTTAGCAGCGGAGTACGAGAAATCGTCTTAGAAACCGGCTTGGATAACTAATGAATAAATGATGACAAACGCGCCCATTCATAGTTCACAGGATCGCGAAGTCGTTCAAATCGCGGAACAACTTTGTTTCAAACTATAACTGCCTATCTGAATTACCGTAATTTGCAGGACTACAATGCCAATATAGACCAGAATCGGCTTTCTCTTAAACCTAGCATCGATTCGTCTTTAAGTGAACCATTAGGTTTAGATGTCCAAGAAGTTCCCAGTCTATATGAGCAACATTTCGTTCTTCGCCTTCTTCAGAGTTTAAAAGACCGCAAAAATGAAAGGAAAGAGGAATATGTGGTCATAAGGGTGAATTCGTGCCCTCTGCCATCCTGTCGAAGGTGAGAAGTCGGAAATTCGGCCAAATAAACGTAAATACCAGGATGGCTCAACCTAACATGTCGTTTGAATGGCAACATCGTCTTTTCCCAGACTTTCTGTTGTAGTAGACACGGCGCTGGATTTTTTGAAAGGGAGGCAGCGTTTGGCACCCCCTCCCCTGTGCCACTTCCCCTACACAGCGATCAGGGTTGACTAGGAGGAGGCTAAACTTTCTCTGTGGGACTATCCCTTGGTCATCTGCACTATAAGCCAAAACCTTTTTGGGGCAGAGGTACAGAGGCGCAGTTAGATGGTCCCCAACTTAGCGCCGTAGATATTGTTCAACTTGACTATTACGGAACCATTTTCTTTGTTTCCTTTCTCGGTGCTATGACCTTCGTTCGGTATTCGTTGTCATTCTGTGGATGCTTTACTGACAATTGAGGAATATGTAATAGTTACGGTTACTTTCAGTGAAATAACCATGTCGGACGACAAAGTTACGATTCTATTGCATGCTGTTGGCGATGCTCCGATTCTGAAGAAGAAGAAATTTGCTGTTGATGCAAGTAGGACAGTTGCCTGGTTAACTCAAGTGATTAAAAAAATGATTGACCTGCCAAATAATCAAAGTCTTCATGTCTATATATCGCAAACATTTGCTCCATCGCCTGATCATTCCTTTGGTTCTCTTCGTGATTGTTATGCTGTTAAGACTGACGGCCAAGAACCCCTCTTAGTGATGCAGTATAGTACAACATATGCATGGGGATGACTTGATCACGTGAACTTTATTTTTTTGTATAATAAAAGTGCTTTCTTCCGTTTCGAGGCGATATACGTCTGTGCCGTGAGTGTTGCAACAACAGTGATATCGTTCATTTGCATGTTATAAGCCGCAGGTTGTGTTTAAAGTTTAAATTACCGTTTTTGCTTTCTTACCAACTAACCCTGGATATTTGCGGCTTTTTGGCTCGCGCTGAAGGTCGGTATGACATTGATAAGTGAGGTTGTTCCCACTAGTATGACGCCTTGTTTTAGCAAGTCCAAGGCGTAGGGCTAGGCATATATCTCGAATATTTGTAGAGTTCATAATGGCTGTACGAAATGCGAGTGAAAAGTTATCGTCTCTGGTAGTGTTTCAGCTTTAAGACAGAGGTGCTGTAGGGCCAAGTTTAACGCTTACCATAAACGCGAGTCCGTGAGTCAAATCCCGGAGTGGCTCCTGCTTAGGTCAACCAAGGCTTCTATATGCAGGGGCGGTAAATTTGTACTAGATTCGTTTGAGAGGACAAGAACACTGACTAGTACATCGGCCGATATCCGTAAGTCATTGTGTAGGCCACACCGCGTTCGGTAAGCTGCTATTCTTAGTGGAAGCAGGATGCGTTCCGCACCCCAGAAGCAATTGATCCAAGGCGACGACGGTCCTCTATTCCTTATCCAGCTGAGTCTTATTTTTGAGCTGTTTCAAATTCTCCGGAGGTGCGAGCTACCAGCGATTTCCGGTTGGTGGTACTGCTTTAGAAGTCTAAGGAAAGCTATCTGTTTTGCTTCTGACTCGACAGCTACCTGGGGACAAAGCTCCTAAATGATTGTGTTTACGTCATTCTTATGAAACTGGGTAGATATTCCTTCCACTTACAGTACCAAGTAGAGTCTCCAAGCCTTTTTCACATTTTCGTGTAAGATTTATATTAAGAGATTAACTGCTAGCAGCTGCGGGGAGATCTTACTCGACCTTTCCAATAGTACCAAACTGAGAAAAGTGACCGTGCAGTTCTAACGACGACTCTCCAGAATGTTCCCCTTTTCTTACTACCATTTCACTGCAACTGTGGCATTTAGCAAGCGCTGTCGGACGGGATAAGCTAGGCTGTCGCGTGGTACGTCCGTAACGTAGAAAGGGGAAGGGGGGGGGGGTCGGGTCCCGGGGTGAAAGACTTACTTTTGAGCCATGATCCACGTTAGTACGATGGTGGCTCAGAAACCTCATTGCAAGCCGGCCATCAAAGAAGGGAGAAGTGGCGTGGGAAAGTTGTATGTTCTAGGACGAGGAACTCGTCGTTGACAAGTCGCGAGACGGGTGTCGTGGCATGTTTCAGCATTATTTAACGACACATTGGGCATGACCGTGAAAAGGGACCGTAGAAGTCACGAACTAGTACCAAGAGAGGGGCATGAACGGGCTGAAATGAGATGCGTCTTACCGAACAAAACCAGAAATAAGTTGTCTTCCGGCTTACTTGGCCAAGAACAAAATTTTTTACTGCCCAGTTACAAACGCAATATTCTGCTGATTTCTTGTTATAGTTAATTGTGATATCTACAGAAGCCATGGACAGAGAAATAGAACAAAGTTTTGCGGATAAGATGAACGTCGCTGAAAGGATGTCTACTTTGATGGCTTTGGCTAAGCCTCAAAAGGTCAGCAATACTGTCCCAATCGTGAGGTGAACATATTTTTTCTTCTCCTAAGATCAAGTGCTCCTTGAATGGCTGAATGTGAGAAGAACAAGGATGTTAGCTAAGATATGAGAATATTGCAGGTACTACAGAAGTATGATAGAGGCGCACCGCATGGCTCTGTCCTATATGAAGAACCAAGACCTAGAAAGGGCTTTGATCTTGCTTGTTCGGTTCTGCAGGTGATTTGATAAGTATTCCTCATGATTTGATCAGTTTTATAGTATGAATAGACTGCATTCCGCAATTCCTTGAAGTGTTGTGAGCAATGAACGTCTGGCGTAAGGGCAGACGGCGCCGCTTAATAATCCTTCCGTCGTTAGGTCCGACCCTAGAAAGCTCCCGTTCAGGTGAACTGGGCAGTCCATCCATCCGGCAACGATAAGTTAGTACCAAGCTCGTCTGGGAGAATTCGTCACTTGTATGTCGGCTCTCTCCCGCATATCGTTGTATAAATCAGGCCACATCCAAAGTCTCGTCTACAGTTCCTAAGGAAAATGGTGCCTCATCTCAGAAAGGGTTTGATAAAACGGGAGATAACAAAAAATCATGTTTTCCATATAAGTAGTATCGAATTATCGGATTATTTGCAGTTTTACTATCGAGGAACTACCGAAACACCCCGATTTTGGCTCCTTTGGTGGAGAGGAGAAAAAGGCTGTCTTCGCGTTGTTGAAGCCTGCTCTTGAACGTGTAGGTTGATTAGCTTGTTTTTAGTTAATTTTTATATGCTCGGCATGACCATGTCATTTGTCATGAGTGGTGTCTTATTTAAACCACTAGTTTCAGGCTGAAAACCTGAAGAAAGTGCTGAAAGCCAGATTTGAAGCAGAAGCCGAGGAGGCGAGTAAATTTTACGCTGCTCATCAAGCTGAACTGGTTGGTGGAGATTCACTTTGATATTCCTTCCTAGGGCAGCTTAATCTCAAAGATATGCTTGATACTGCTGTTAATATCAATATCACGAAAGCTTGAAAGCTGTTTTTGCACAAATTACTTCAGGATGCGCGACGATACCAAAAAGACCACGTTGTTGATAGACCTACCACAGTGGGTGCAGAAGCGAACGCGGTCGATATTGTGTAAGTAACAGTCAATTTCGCGATATGGATGGACATGCATCTTTCTTGAACAACCAGGACTTTTATTGGTCTGAAAGGATGTACTTTGGAGTTCGTAAATGCGTTTCAGCTCTCATTCCTGATCCTTGTAATGTGCAGCGTGCACGGGTTTGCAGCATCATTGTACCACACTCGTCACTCGAAAAAGTGCCAATATGAGAGTGGATGGTAAATGCAAAGCTTGCAGGCACGCAACTTGCCACAAGATCAGCCACACGGCTCATTATAACCAAATGCGCTAGTTGTCTGCGCCCTCTCGCGTCCAATTGTTTGGTTGCTTTGGCAGCGTACTTTCGGCAGCTTCTCAACGCGATACCTCGGTATCGACGCAAAAGCCGCACTTTGCACATTGCGGGTCAGACTCAAACGGCATTCCGCGGTCAGGGCACTTCCGTTCGCAAGGGAAAATCTTGCGGAATACAAATCCTTCAATTTTTTTTCTGTAGTGCGACTCCATACCCTTCCCTATTCAACCTGATCCTACTGACTTCCCAACTTACTGCGGCTTTTCCCTTTTTTCCAGAAAACTTCACAGCACGCACGTTTCTTTTCATAGCACGGTAAAACCGCGAAAGGTCAACAACCGGGAATAATCTTCTCGCGCAGGCAAAGAAATTTCTTGACCCTCCCCCCTTCCTCCAAGCGACGAGCAAATGCAACCCCCTCCCCCCTATGTGAAGTGTCACGCAACGTTGTGAGTAGCGTGCGTGAAACAAGAAAAATTGAGTATCAAAGAATTTCTCAGGCCACACGCTCCCCCCCCCCCTCCGTCCAGCGACCAAGGTGAACCCCTCGCTGGGGATCCCCCACCGTGCGATCTGCCCTGCTCGCTATTCTCCAGCTTCGCCTGAGCGCACTTCCAGATGGGAAAGCGATACTCTTCTACATATCCACTACGTCCATCTCGCAGCATGCAGCCTATCCTTGACTAGCTGTCCTCAGCTGCTTGAACAGTTGCTGGAGTCGCGACTACTTCCTTACTCGCATTTCAGGCAACCTTTCAACTATTGATCGAAGGGTTGGAAACTTTAGAAATGGATGGGGAAGATGCTTGGAGGTTGTATTCTTATGATCTAGCGAAGGTAGAGTACGAGGCGTAGCCGTTGCGTTCACCATCTCATCAGCCCGCTTACATACTTAACTATTAGAGAGGCTCGGTTCGAATCCGCTCCGAAATCGTAGATTCTTCACAAAGTATGAACGTTACATTCCTTGGAACATGCGACAGCGCGACACCAGAGGCGTACGCGGTGGGGACGTCCTCGTCAACACGCACTTGGCCATGAACATCGATTCGTACGAAAATCTGACGACCCGAATCGGACGTTTGCGATTGAGAAGATGTGGTTCAACTCCAGCTTTGAAGAACTTCACATCGGAACTCACGGAATGGAGTGGAATGAGCAGGGTGAAAGGCTGTCTGAGTTTATCATGTCGACCCATACCATCCATGGTAACTCGCAGTTCCAGAAGCCCTACTCTCTACGCTGGACATGGGAGTCTCCTGGTGGACAATTCCATAACGAGATCGACCACATCATCTTCAATCGAAGGTTTTGCCTGACCGATGTCGCTGTTGTTCCTAAGTTCTACACGGGATCCGACCACCGTCTCCTTCCGCTTTTCGATGCGAGGAGAGAGAGCCGCAAAGTTCAAGAAGCGAAGCCCCACCGTCAATTTATCAACTGGGATCACTTCACTTCTCTCGCTGGGCTCTGGGAGGATTCCGTCATCGACAACATCGACAAAGAATACGAACGGCTTTTGAACATCTTCACGACTGCGCCAAAAAGTCAGAGAGTTCCAAGATTACCAAAAAGCGTCTTATCTCTGGAAACTCTCGAGCTGATTCGCCAACGTGGAGCCAGCACGAGCCGCAGGCAATTACCAACTAACGTCTGAGCTTGCGAAGCTATGCAGAGAAGCGATAAAGGAATACTTCAAGAAGAGAACTATAGCAGTACTGGGAAGCCGCAGAGGCTAGGAAGAGCATCCACAACGCCCGCTGCGACTTCATCAACTGTAAGACCGAGATGACCGGCCTCTGACGTCTGGAAATCACTGCATCCCGAAAGGCAGTGGAGAAGGTCACCCAAGTGAGCACGGGCTAAATGCTTGACCCAAAGGACCACCTTTTGAAGCTGTTATGCATTCGAAGCCACAGTAAGGAATCGAACAGCCAGAAAGGTGGTATTTTTGGTGTTTACTTCTCATTCCTAGGATTCAGTCGCTAATCTTTGTGTGCCCTGCGGTAGTTATGCAATCGGAGAATATTCGCGCCCACATGATCCCTGATGTCTTGACATTGTGACCCATGTGTTCGTCCTTGATCTTTGAACATCAACGGAGGAGGGAACACCAATGACGCTATTCATATTTCAGTGGGCCTTCACGTGAATGTCGATATATTCAACACTATCGAGTATCTTGATATTTGACCTTCTGGGACGGTCTCAAAGTGTCTTCCAACCGCGAAGCCTTCCTCCTTCCTTTTTTCTTTTTCCTTCCTTCTTTTCGTGACCTCTTTTTCTCTTTCCTGTGCCTTATTTTCCTCCCTTGAAGTGCATGGCCAGAACATGCGATGAGAAATTGCCTGTGGACCCTTGCAGCGAGAAAAGCTCCGGTTGACGGGAGTCCTGGGGGCATCTTGCTCGAACCACACCAGTGTTGACTCTGTGACAGCCGCCTGCAGTTAGTTACTAGGACGATCACCTTTTTAGCATTACGGTACTTTTGCAATACGATGTAGAAAACCGAATTTTTCTCATCGCTGACTTCATTTTTTTATCGGTTTTCAATATTGCAGGGATCCACATATTACAACAAACAATATTTCCTTCCCTGGAGTCAGTGCCATTGCGAGTCCTCCGAATGAGTATTCCTCGGCCATCATGCCTTCTGCTCCTTCTATAGACCGCAGTGATAAACCCATTGTGGTCAGTCACCACTCTCACGATTCATCTTCGCCAATCAGTACCAGAATTGTCATCATCGCCGGCGATCTGGTCCAGAAGTGAGTTTTTTTGTTCTTCTATGATTCTCTGGTATTATACTCACGCCTGTTTTTTTAGGTTTTTGGTTTGTGCTCAGAGTAATACAGACAAAAATGTGGAAACATGTGGTACTCTATGTGGAAGTATTGTAGGTCCACTACATTTCCCTTTCCAGCTTATTTTTCCACGATTCAATTGCAGGTGGCCAATGCCTTCCTTGTTACCCACGTAATTCTTCCAAAGCAGTCAGGAGCCTCCGATGGTTGCTTTGCTGAAGGAGAGGAAGAGGTCCGTGACATTAAAAGAAACTGGGCACCCTTTCATCGTAAAAGGTTTTTCTTGCAGGTTTTTGCATATCAGGACAAACATGATTTGATAACACTGGGGTGGATTCACACTCATCCGACTCAGACGGCGTTTCTTTCCTCCGTTGACCTTCATACTCATTGTGCTTATCAAATGATGTTAAATGAAGCGGTTGCAATCGTGTGCGCTCCCTCTCATAGACAGTAAGTTTTTTCCCAGAAAATCTTAATTTTGTTCACATTTTTGTTGCGTCTGTTGTTTTGAACACAATTTCGAGTTTTGCTTCCTCTTCTTCAGTTTTAGAGTTTGCAGGTGCTTCAGCCTGGCCTTCATCGTTGCCCTAACCACGACCACCTTTAGCCCAAATGTCCAACTTTACCATGCTTTCTGTATCTTCAGTTTCCTAATAAAGCCATACACCGGGGGAAAGGTCCATCAATGCGCAGTCCTGAAAGGTGATGGATGGCCCTGATTGGGAAGCTGAAACAGTGTGACTTTTGTGTTCATAATGTTTTTTGATGGTCAAGAGTTTAATTCCCATCGTTTCTATAACGAACTCTCTTAATTTCGGTAGATCCGCCAGTACCACAGCGCTGACTGATCTGCGGCCGCTTGCACGTATGCATTTTTTCTAAGCACAACTCAACTATCATTGCTCCATTTTTCTGAAAACAGGCCAGTTCTTGAACGACTTTTTTGGAGAAGGTTTGGCTGAAACCTTATTCTTAGAGGTAGTTCGACCTCCTGACCAGGAAAATCACGTCCGCTTGACCAAACAGCCTGACACCCGCGCCACAGGCACCGACGGCGAAAGAATACAGGCTACCAAATCCTTAAACTTATACACGAGAGTTATTTGACGTTCTGATTACAAATATGACATTCATTTTGGCGCTAGCGCTAATGGAAGACGCTAAAATATCTGCGCCCTGCAAAGGCTGAGCCTGGCCTAAAGGAACTCACCTTTCCTCCCAAGCTCAGTTATTAGAAGAGCGTTAAATGGCGTTGGTGTCGAAAAATGAATGCTATATTCGTGATCAGGACATCGAGCCATCCCATTATTCAAGTTTTTGAAGATTTTGATGAAAAACTGTGTGGCACCAAATTGGCGCCCAATGGCGTCATGGCGCCAGGGCCAAAATTGAATGATTAGGGTACCAAATAACCCCGCAAGTTTACACCGAATTTCCTGAAAAGTGACAGACGCCAATTTGAATCTAGTGGCAGCAAAATGAGTCAGCGTTAAAAACAAATGTCACATCTGGGTCGGGACACCGAACTGAGCAAAGTTCCATCAAAAAATTTTTAGAGTTTCAGAGAAGTAATAATTGGATAGTGCCCATTTTGCAAACACAGCTCTATTTATTTATTTACTCATTTGTTTTATTTTGTTAACATATCCTTTTTCTTCTTTTCCTCTGGTAACACATCTGATTCCATCGTTCTTTTTTTTGTTCTAATTCTCTTCTCACAGTTCATCCTTTCCCACAGTCAAATATCTTGTTCACTGCGGATGAGAGAGCATGTAAGTGCAGCTGCACTTGTCACGATGCCAACCCGTTTTTTTTTCTTAGGCAAGGGATAAGATTGTATTACGTATAAAGTTTGCATCAGCCGTTTTTCACCAGTTATTGTCACTTACCTGCTTCAACAACTGGTGAAGAATGGGTTTGGCGGCGCCTCAGCTGCAGCTGCGCCGACAGCCCTATCACCTGCGGCAAACCAAGCAGTAACCATAATCAGAGATGGCATTTTTTCATTTTTTTTCCGTGTCGTCACTCACTCAAAGACTCCTGCAGCCCTGAGAGAGCCGAACATCTTTCCATGCTATTTTATCTAAACTACCAGCAGTTGTTACTTCATTTGTGATCATCACATGGACTGGCCTGTAAACTTGCAAAGCAACAGGAACCCGCTCGAAATCCGCACTGGTACCTGCGTAAGGCGAAGAGTGGCGTGGTCGGACGTGTTCTCACTGTTGGTGCCGGATCCTTCTACTTATCACCTCACTTTCACCATTAAAAATTTAGAGGTTGTAGCGAAACTACCCCACCATCAGGTAGCAGTTAAAGACAGCTCCCGCGATAAGTGTCGTGGATAGTTGATGTTCAATTATGAAACAGTAGCTGATAAGTAATTCCCCAAAGAAGAAAAAAGCAAGAAGAGCCCTCAAGAACACCATGAACAAAATCGCTCCCTGACAGTCACACCGCCCTGCGATCTCTGTGCAACCCCTAGCTCACAAATCGCTTTATCGCATCTCCCAGTAGTGGATATCATCCACTGCGAAAAAAAGAATACGAAAAACAAAAACACCAGCGAAAACACTAAAAAAATAAAGAAAATTTCAAAAACTCGGCGTCCGAATTTGGGGTTACGGTAGCGTGCATCTTTTAGTGCATGTCGAGCTTTTGCACCACGAAAATTGCATCGCTCGTGATTTTTACGCGTTTTACCTTGCGAGATGAGTTGCAGTTGACTGCAGAGCTGCAGTTGACTGCATGTGCTCCTAATGAATAAAATGTAATAAAGGAGAGCAGAATTATTTATGGGCACGAGCGGTCAGCAAAAAGGACATGCAATTCCGATTAATGCCCGCCGCCCCAACAAAGAACAACTGAGCGGCCCTCCGTCAGAGGGCATCTAGCAAGTGGGCGGTCCAACTGGCGGGCGTTAGAACTAGAACTTTCAGCGGCTGTAGCTCGCTCCTCGCTCACTGTGGAGTCGCGAGAGTGGGATAGTCTCTAGCTTGGGGGCTGAACTACTTGCACAAGGAAGGACGACCATGTACTACTCGAGCGCGGGGGCTGTCTTCAAAAAAGAAAGTTGGGCGTGGCCGTGGCCAGTGGGTTGGCGGCGCTTTCCCTCATGTATTTTTGAGCTGCCAAATGCACGTCCTCCGTGCTTACAAGGACTACCGTTTCCGAAAAATACGCCTGACCATTGAATGAACGCGGGGGTGCCTCTGAATCTTAACGAAAAACCATTAATTTCATTATGATTGCCATTGCTGCGATTAGTGCCCTCGCTGCGAGTCACTAACGAGCCTTTCGGCGTTTCCTGCGCGTTGTCATTGCGTTGTTATTGTAATGGCGATGCCATTTTCTAGCGCTGTTATTTTCGTTGTTATTTGTTGTCGGTATCATTACGACAGACATGTGAGGCATTCCCGATTGGAGATGTGTTTTTTCGTGTCTCGGTTAAATTTAAGGGGCTGTGGGGGGGGGGGTGTGATTCGGTGGTTTTGTAAAGAGGTTTGGCAGGATCGACGGTAACAGCTTATATCATATTTATTATATAAGCGAACTCATGGAAATGATAAAGAATGAAGTCATGGAAATGATAAATCCATTTCGTCTCGGATCTCGAAAGTAGGAAAAGCGAGGATCAGCTTGATCTGCGCCAGATAGGGTAGACCTTGGGGAGCGATCGGCTAAGTTGCGAATTGGACCTTGGAACGCGTTTTTCAACTTCGTTTGTCTTCCTCGCGGAAACAGGCTACATCATTGGTTGGGGATTTTAATTGAGCCTGTACGACCCCCCCCCCCCTTTTTTTTGGGGGGGGGGGAGGGGGGGGGGGCGGGATGTTACGTAAATACACGAAGGGTAGCCGTGTAATTGCACACTGCAAGCGATTACCGTAACCCCAAGACTGTTTGCATTCGCCCACGGAGTGCAAATGGGGTGCTGTAGGTTGGTCTTTACGTAGGCAAATAGTTACCAACATAATGTACCTTAAAATCGCTTCCAAGAAACCATTTCATGCTTCCTCTGCCTTTGTAAAAACGGCGAAGTTTTGCGGTTTTCACTCGTGAAGAGTATTGTTTTTAACAAGTTGTCTGATCAGCCGTTTCACTGACATCGTAGGGTATCCTACTTGTCTTTCAGCACCTGTATCGTGCGCACTGTTTGTTCTTGGAGGGTTATACATGATTTTCATTCCAATCCATTTTGTATATTGAACGAAGGCATTTGAATTTTCCTCCGCTACTATGAGGTATCAGCGGCTGGAACAGACCTACATCTAACGACGCCTTCCTCATCTTGCGAGGTCTCGATTTCCTCTGTGATTCTCAGTTTGGATGCGATTTTCCTTTTTGTAATGCGGGGTCTGATTCATGGCCAAACGTTCTTTCCACGCGGCTAAATCTCTGTCCCAGTGAAGAGAAAGATCACTACCGCAGACACCCATTCCGGGTGCTGCTTTGCTTCTCGCTTGGAAAAGAAGCCACCAACCTTTCGTTTCGAAAGGCAGCGTCAGCGGCTAGGGATCAAGATCTCAATGTAGCGAACGCCCGCGTCCACCGCCGTCTAGCCTAGGAGTCATGAATAGGGATATTGGAGATATAATGAAAATGCGTCGTGTGCGACCGCACCGTACAACTGCCAAAGCTTAGAATTAAGCTGGCTTGATGTAAGGTGTAGGGCAGCTTTGAGGTGCCGTAGCACGCACCGCAATATCGGATGCCCAACCAGCTGTGCTAACCTCCTGCCATAATCCCCACTCTTGGACCCTCTTGCGCGCGGAGTTCGCTACTTCAAAGATAGCTAGTGTTCGCTGGCCACGTTGATGGAGCTAGTGGTCCCTGGTCATTGAATGGATGTGATTTCATGTTCAGGAAGTCGAACTACGCCTGGAGACCTACTTTACACAAATCGAAGACGGAACTCCAACTTCGAAAACTGGGCAGTAAAGGATAAATTGTCCCAAAAATTGCAGAGTGACGAGAAGCATTGGTCATTTTTCGATCTACTCCCGAAATCCTGTACATCTTCAAACTAATGCGATTCAATTCGTTTCATCAATACTACAATTCTTTATTTCTTCAATTCGTCAATTCTTCCGATAAGAGACGGGAAGATCCGTACCAGTTACCAAAGTAGAAGTAGTACAGAATGTTTAGCTACGGAATGTTTCCTTGAAAGCTATCTTGATAAAGAACCCCTTAATACACGTAATGACTAACCTATCGCACCACAGTTGCACTCCATGGGCGAATGCAAACAGATTTGGGGTTACGGTAATCGCCTGATGTGTGCAATTACACGGCTACCCTTCGTGTATTTACGTAACATCGGCGGGCGAGGGGGGGGGGATGGTACGACCTCCTCCCCTCACTCCGGCCCTCTGTTCCTCTTCATTGAATCGAACCGTCGAGCGGGGAGGGGGGGGAGGGGAAGGATAGGCACATGTGAAACAGGAAAAGCCGCGAGACAATACGACCCCCCCCTTCTACCAATTTTCAGATTTTCCCCAACTTCCTGCCACTTTTTTCCAAAATTTCCCGAAAACTTCCCTACTTTACCCCAAATTTGCTGTCGGGAGGGGGCGAGGGAGAAGGGGGGGGCATATAGTACGCATGAAACAGGAAAATCACCAAAAGTCAACCACCACTCCTACAACGCCAAAACATAAACACGACCCCCGGCGGCCAAATGCGACTCCCTACTAGGAGGGGTTCCCCAAAACCCATTCACGCGCGTCACTTCCTGCTCGAGAGTTCATAGGATTGTTGTTGAGGTAGAAACGATCGTTCTTTGAGCCCACCGATGTTTGCGCCGCCGTTCGCTCCGCTGTTTTCGTGCTTCGTATTTCGCAATAGCCAGACATCACGAGCGCCGTCGTTCAATACTAAGTAACTAGTCTGTTACTCTTACTCGGGGCTGTTCTGATGTTTCGCCCTGCAGTGGGTTCCCGATTTCCATTTGTCGCTTTTTGCCACATCGTTCCCAATTTTCTGGAGTGTAAGAGCTTTTTTCTAGCCTCGGTTTTGCGTATTTTTATGTTCTTGTTTATGTGTGTGATCTATTCTGAGAAAAAGGAGAGTGAAAAATAGGAAGGAAGTAGGAACAAGTGTTTGAAAACTAATCAAAAGGTTAGTGACAGAAAGATTGGAAAAGAATTTGTCGTGTTTGGAACTCTCGCATTGTCGCTTGCATCTGAGCGATTAAAAGATAGCCTTATACATCGAAAGTGGGGTAGTTTTCTAGCACTGCAGTTGTATTGGAGCCCGTTAATGTTGCTATTCTGGGCTTATGGGCAACAGGGACTTGTTCGCGTTGAATGCGTCGGCCTTCTGTTTTTCTCTGCTTCTCTCGTCCGCATAGAACTCCAAGGTCATTGTGACCTGACATGTTCAGCTTTTCAAGCATTCACCCATCTCGGAGTTCCACTGAAAGAGCCCCCATGGCTCGCAGCCCCATACCGTTTTTCATCTTCATGTAATTTGGCAGCCGCTTTTCTCTATCTGTCTGCGTTTCATGGTTTTGTAACAGTATCGTTCCCAAAATCGAAGGTATCACGTAATCTAGTTGAGGAAGTGGTTGCCTGGTTCGTGCGATAGATACGTGTGTTTACCTAGTACACTCTAGTTCGCTGCGGACGGTTGGGCGTGTCAGGCAGTATGAGTGTTCACACCGTCAAAGCCGTTCTCTGCCTTCTTGTTGAAGCGCGCATGCGACAAAAAGTGGTAGAAAACGAGTAATACGAACGATATGATACAGTCATATCACTTGCTCTGTTTGACAGCGGGTGGAGAACGGGTCTGGCACTGCGCCAACTCATCCAGCCTGACACGAACAACCGTCCGCAGCGAACTACACTGAACGTAGTTGCATATTGGCCTAATTAGCAAGTTCGGGGGCAGTCAATGTATGAACCAGTGTTATGCTCGCTGTAGAGGGTTCCAATAACCCGACTCCGGAATCAGTAAAACATTGACTGACGTAAGCTTCACACGGCCCTGATGTTGACCTCCGTATCGTGCACCTAGTGGGGCGGTGCCCCCCCCCCCCCCCCAAGGCCATCGCAAGTTGGGACAACGTCCTACTTGGTCGCTTTCTGTTTGAGTCGTAAGCGTTATCTTCTTACGTTTAGGCATTTATACGACGACTGCGCTGCGTTATTCTTGAACATGCTTTAGTTTTCGTTTCCGGATATCCCCTCTGTCCCCTCAGATAATCACTCAGGCAGCGCGCGATTCGACGGGCATGCTTTCAGCTGCATCCGCGTCGAACGCGCGACCAAGGCGCTGCCGTCGCGAAGTCTGAACGCTGCCTCACATAAAGCTTGCTACGTCTATATATTTGTTTGTTTGTGTGTCTATGCGGGAATTCAGTTACACCTGAAGAGCAACTGGGAGAGGTTGGATCAGGGGTGGTATGGACAGGGCCTGGGACAACATTTCTAGAGCACACATGGCTATGCCAGTCCCGCCCACAGTGGACGGGGTGGGGTCGCACTTGGCAACAAGTGTAATTCAAAATGCTCCATACTTGTGCGTCCCAATAGAACAAAAAGGAAAGTTGACTCAAACGGTAATCGCAGTTCGAAGTAATCTGCATGTAGCAGTGGTTTCGCTTTCAGGATTGGCACGTTTGTGCTGACGCCATATGGTATGAGTGTTGTGGAGTCTTGTACACAGAAAGGATTCCACGTTCATCCGGAGGACGAGAAACTCTTCGTTGAAGCGGATCACGTCAAATATAGCAGCAATCATACTTGCACTGTTGTAGACATGAGGAAATAATGCGATGAGGAGAGCCATGACGGTATTTCGATCATTCTCCACATAGAGAGAACGAGCAGATTTAGTGTCAGACTGACATAACCTACTTGCGGAAAATGATTGTAGACCTGGTTTCTGGAACCAGTCTTCCTCGCTCATGTGTCCCTTAGCTGCGAAAGTCTGGGGCGAACAAAGAACAAAGCAGGGGCTAAGGTCCAGATCATCGACTTTTCCTTCCTTTGTGGGTGGTCAGGCGGGCGGTTATGGCTGGCGTCATTGATGGAAGGGGTGTGAGCGGGCGTTTAGTGACACCCTATTCAGCTGTTTCACCAACGACGTCAGCATTAACGGCTCGGCTGCAGCTATCGTCCCTACAGCCTTTAAAGCTGCTCGCTTTCTCTGAAGACATTTTAAGGTTCAATGTGGCTGGTTTTCATGAGTATTAAGCTTTCAGAAGAGCGTAAGTGCTCCCCAGAAGGATATGCTATTCCTGTGAAATGGGACGTCTTCGCTATCCTTGAATATTTCCGTTGGTAGATTCAGAGTTGGGGAGTTGGGGAAATATGTAATTAAAGCGACTGCTACTTTATTGAGTTGATCTCATCTACTGGTGATGTTCCTCTAGTCAGGGCACTAGATGAGTCAGACTTTCATCTTATACGGTTGCTAATAAGATGTGTATACTTACTCCTCGATTGTACTTTTTTTATGTTGTACTGTATATTTAAAGGTGCCTTCTAATAATGTGAATTTATTAGCATAAATATTTGTATGAATCTTTTCGAAATTCTCTATTGGATAGTGTTCCAACATTGATTTTGCCTATTTTGAGCTGAATGCTGAATTGAAGGGGTGGCAGTTGATACATTCTAACCTTCAGAAATGGTCGCCACTAGAAGACGCACGGAGCCAGCCCAAGTGTCACCACCAGCTGCGAAAAAAGTGCTACCTATAAAAAGACCTGTGACAAAGGAGACGAAAGAGGTCGATAAAGAGGGATCTGTCAAAGAGCAGAAGAAGGTGAAGTCAGAAAAACGACCAAAGAAGGATGCGGAGGTGAAGAAGAGCGTCGAAGAAACTGAGCAAGATGAGGGATCACGAAAACGAATACTCCCTTCTCGAAAAGAGGCGGTTGACGTTGAGAAAAAGTCGCTGAGTAGGCGAAGTCTACCGCCACTTGTGGCACCTGTCGAAGAAAAGAAGTCACGAATTGAACAAAAGACCCCGGTGGTGCGCAAAAAGGCAGGAAAACGGAAGTTAGTGACACCCGACTCCAACGGGGTTGAGAAAGGTGCCGATACGGCTGATTTCCCCATGGGTAAGCGAAGTCTGCCACCACTTGTGGCACCTGTCGAAGAAAAGAAGTCACGAATTGAACAAAAGACCCCGGTGGTGCGCAAAAAGGCAGGAAAACGGAAGTTAGTGACACCCGACTCCAACGGGGTTGAGAAAGGCGCCGATACGGCTGATTCCCCCATTAAGTCATTGAAAGCTACAAAATTCAAATCGGAGCAAGGCTCGTTCCAGAAGGAAGGCGACATGGCAGAAGAGATGAAGCAGAATGGGAACTCAGATAGGTCTCCTGTAGAAAGCAAGTTGGAAGAAGAAATGAAGCAGACGGCGAAGGAGAAACCGAAGCACGAGCAGGACGAAGATGATTGGGAGCAGTTTGGAAATTCTAGCGGCGACGAAGTCAGTAAAGAAACTTTCTAGAAGATAGTGTCATTTTTCTCTTGAATAACCTTATTCTTAGGATGAGCCGGACAGGTCCAAACTGAAGAAAAAGGAAGCTAAGAAAAAGGTCAAATCCTCTAAAGCTGCGTCTAAGCCATCCAATGAAGGTACATTTTATGTAGTGGGATGTTAGGCTCTCCATTTGAAAGACCCCCAGTTAGAGTTAGCCTTTGTTCCATGTATAGTCTCTTTGTGGGGTGTCAGTGGATCTGCGTTTGGCTAGCCGCCGGCCCGTTCTCCAGTTGTTGAAGCGAGTAAGCGACACAGCTGGTCGATATGAACGAAACGATACATTCCTGTCGCTTGCCAAAAGGGAAAAAACGGGCTGGCGCCAGGCCAAACCTCTGCTCCGCGACACGCCCTATCATCCGCAGCGGAAAAGGCTCGGAGTTGATAACTGTTTCCATAGATACTACGGCTTGGCGCCCTAGGCGTAATGTTGTCCGCAAGAGTTACGTAATCAAAGACGAGGATGGGGAAGAGTCGTCGAGCTCGTCGGCTGCGTCTGACAGTGAAAGCGAAAGCCTTGCATCGGCAGTAGCTTCTTCAGGAGAGGAGGTGTGGTTTACATTTTTTAAACATTTGATTCTGGAGTAATGATAGTCCGCAATTTCAGCCAGACACTGAAACTGAAACAGAAGCCTCTTCAGCAGTTGAGGATCCAGATGATAGCGACGCGAGCTTCTCCCCATCCAAAGCAACGTCAAAGCAAACGAAACGGCGTAGTGGGGAGAAGGGCGGACCCAGCAGTCGACCGCAAGGCGGAAGTTCAAAATCACAAGGGTGAGTGCTGGTGCGAGAACGTACCATAGTTGTCTTTCATGGCTCAATGGGTAGCAGATATGTGAAGTATAGAATGACTGCGGTCTACGGCCGACGCGTTGCGCAAGATGCCGCATCGCGACTGTGCGCGCGATATTCACTTTTTGAGTTTTCTGGTAGAAACGGGAAAGTGCATCGCATGCGTAGAGTACTGCAGTTGTAGCTGTGGTGTGATTTAGTTCTTCTTTCATAATGTTGCGTTTTGTTCATGATGCACCATTTTAGGAAGTCGCGGGTTTCGTCCACAAGTAAATCAACAAAATCTCGTGAAAGCGCTGGTGTGTATCTTTTATTTTCCATTTTTTGTTCCCAGATGTTCCTAGACGAAGAGTTATCCACTGTACTAATTTTGTAATGTTTATAGCCTCTAAAGCGTCAGTGAAAATCCCACCTTCGCGCCCGACGTCCTCCAAACCTCTGAGACCTTGGCAGAAGGTGAACGAACAACCAGTTGTGGAAGGTGATATCGTTGTACCTGTAAGAACGCTGAGGCGTGGAGAGAGAAAGATGGCGAAGTTCAGGTGAGAGACTTTCAATTTTCGATGCTACCTAGGTGTAAGCGACGCGATTGCCCTGAAAATCAGTTCAAAATGAATGTTCAGCCCTGTTCAGCGCGAATGAAAGGGCGTGACATTCGCAATAGGTTTGCAGCGGCACAAACGCGTTTTCCGCCGATACTGAAACGAGAAAGCAGAGATACTATTTCTTGCAGTCGTAGCAGTCGTTTTCCATCAGATCTTGTCACTCACGCGCTTTACTGTTGGCAAATAACAGATTTGGCGCCGTGCTAGACACATCCCACCTGACACGCCCCTTCAGTCCGTGGCGAAAGCGAGCATTTCATAGATCTACTTTTTTAGCAAACCATCCAAAAATACAGGTAAGTGTGCCTTCAGTTTTGAACCAAGGGCAAGCGAGCGCATCAACTGGGGCCTTTACTCGTTATAAAAGTAATCAGATGGTTTTAACTACTTCTGACAGAGATTCAGTAACAGGAACACAGCGCTAGCTTCTCACTGTGCACCCACTCTTTCAGGGTCTTAGCAGCAGCATTGGCTGTTGGAAAGAATGTCGAAATGACACAGGAAGAAGCCAGTCGAATTGTTTCCGGGATGAAAGCCAAGTGCGTTACAAAAGATGATCATATATTGCCTTCAGCAACCTCAGCAAATGCGGAGAATACGGATAATGACGGTACGTGTTAGTATCAAATTAGGCTTCCATACTTTGGGTCGGCGTCTTGAGCGCATGGAACCATTTTGATTGCTTCAAGGGGAGGGGCGTTTTGAGTGCCTGACAAAGAGTAGGCAGTGGTCCAGCGTTTTAGCGCATGCCAGCGTTTTCAGCTATTGCCCGAGAAAGGTTCGAAACTGTATGCGAAACGCTCGAAACGATGCCATGCGCTGGTCTACTATGAACGTATTCTTAGAATAAACGGAAAAGTAGTGATCGTAGGCCTGTGATATTGCTCGTTTTAGCATCATCTTCTGAAGACGAGTGGGAGGAGATGGTGCCTGTTGAGACTGAAGAAACGAAGGGCAAGGTGGTTTTCTTTCTCATCTATTTCTCAGCCATTTGTAATCCATTAGGGTACACTATTGTAGCATGTGCAAGTTACGCTCAAGAAAGCTGAAGAAAAGGACTGGTGGGGGCTGTATCTCAAGCAAGAAGTAAACAAATGCGTAAGGGATAACTGGGAAAACTGCCACAAAGTAGGACTTCGTTGAATTTGGAATACTTCGGAATTCTAAAGAAATGCTCTGATTTTCAGGTCAATATCCTATGCTATATCGGTCATCTACAGTATTTGAGAAAAGTTATACTGGAGGAGAGTCTCATTCCATCATTGATGCTGACCATGGTACCATACAGTACTTTTTTGTAGTGTTCATTCGACTTGAAATTTTGTGCTCATTTGACTTCAAACCTTTCTCATAACAGATGCCGTCCGGATACCAGGCTTTAGTAGGCAAGCCTATGACGCTTGAAAACGCTCGAAAGATGATCAAGTATTTTCACAGCTCCTTCAAGGTGGGGAGATTCTGGTCTATTTTCGATTGACAGCTATTTCCATTTTGAGAATGAGCCCGTTGGACTAATTTCTGTGTCCAGCGTTTTAAACCGGACTTCTTTTTAGGCATCTGGGGCTCCCATTACTTTCGAACCAGGTCTGTGCCGCTTCGATGCAACCGCACGCTACTCAGAAATGGTCTCACGGCAGGAATTCGAAACCGACGCTGATCGTGCTGTTGTAAGTCAGCCAGTTAATACGCGGTTTTGTGGATTAGTATCTGTCATAACCGTGTTTTAAGTTAACTGAGGAGCACACTGCCGTATTTTGTGCAGTAGGTGCTAGGTGGGGGATTAGGTGGCACTCCGAAAAAGTGCGATTCCTCTCACCGACATCTTCTTACATGCAGCTTGGAAGTGTTTTCTCGCTGATACAGTAATTCCATCCGCTTTTCAGGCCCTACCTTAAGAAAGTGCAGACAAACAAAGTCCGCGTGTCCTTTCCTCCTGGCGAAGAGAAACGTTCTTTGTCCCGTCACCGCGTTTTCTCAGCACCTTAGCGCCGTTCCTACAACATTACCTATTTGTTACGTGTACTTTAAGGCGAACAGTGAAAGGTCGTTTTGTTAATCGGGGGTGGGTGAGCGTCCAAAGATGTTGATGAAACATTGGGGTTGGAATCCCAGGTTCCTAGTTAGCCGCGTATTCTGCGGTTTCGTGAACTGCTTTGGGTGCTACACAATTGTCATGTACAAGTGGATAGTTTCAATTACTCAGCAGATCGATCTTTGCCAGTTTCAAGCGTGACTGATGCGCCCACTTTCTGCGAGCTCAGCAAAACTCCAGACTGACCCATCGGTTCCATCGGTCACTCTGGAATCGACGGAACGACTGTAGATGAAGGCCAACCAAGATTGGTGGCCGCATGACATAACCACAAATACGTTTAGGGTTACTTCAGCTGCATTTTGATGACCTGTCATTAGGTATACTCACATTATCTACACGGTCTTCGCTGTACTCCTCATAATTTTTCTAAACGGAGAGATCACTACATTGAATTCCCCGTGGTCCATGCCTAAGACCTCTAAAATGAGTACTTTGGGGGAAAGGTGCGATCAGATCAGTTGGGATCAATGGAATTTCTTCATCTTAACGCGACGTCTCAATAACCTTCACCACCTTCATCACCTAATTTGGAAGTGTGCAAGAAAAAAAGCTGAAGTAAACTGGAATTATGTTGGTTTTCTTGTGAAGGCCAGGCTGGCATTGATAGTGGCTCTATTGTAACGTATGTCACAGTGACATTTTCAGCTCCTTTTCGCCCTCTTCGTTTCTATGGAATGCATTGCGCGCATCTGCGTAAACACGCAAACAATACCAAGGAAATGGGATGCGGTAGGTCTCTGATGTTGTCTCGAAATGTTTCTAGACTCAAGACAACTCTAGACTCAAGACAACCTTTCAGAAAGTGCTCAAAGATGTTGCGAAGATGAAGGCAAACTCCGATGTTACGAAGATGAATGTAAGCTCCGGCTCATCTGCCGACTCATCGAAAGAGAAAACAAAAAGCAAGGGCACTCCAAAGAAGAAGACGGATGGAGCCGATCACAAGGGGAAGATTCGCAATTACTGGGTTGAGTACTGGGACAGGAAGCAGAATAAATGGATATGTGAGTTTTCTTCACTGAGAATTGCTTTTCGCCCAATGGACTTGTGTACCGTTTAGGTGTGGATCCGCTTCGAGTGACCGTTGACGACCCAAATTCAATTGAGGAGAATCTGTCGAAACCTGTCGTTTATGTTCTGGCTATTGATAGCGGTTAGTTGGTCCTTGTTTCTCGACAGAGTCGAATAAGAATAGGGTAGATGATTTTCAGCTGAGCATCTTTTGTGCGGAAACTGTCCTTACCGTCCTTACCCCGAGAAAACTTGCTACGTTTTCGTGTTCGAAGAAGCAAATTTTTGTCTTTGTTGTATTAGTAAAGTGTTTCTCATTATTATATTTACCGAAAGGTTACTACTCCAGAAGGATCGATGGATGTCGCCATGCGATCCTCCTTCACCTTACAGTGTTATGCCTCAGAGTTCTTCAATGGCTAATGGTTGCGTGGCTCCGCCTATTGTGGGCGGAGCCTTTTTGGCTGAAGTGTGCTCCGTGAATTTTGACCTACCCCATTCATACCGAAATTGAAACGTTCCCATGAAGTGTTTCTCAGTCACCAAGCTGCTCAGACAAACACAAAACACACGATTTCTGGTTTATGGATAGAGAGTTTAACAGCGTTCAATGTTACCTTTTGGATTTTCACCCCGAGTATTATAGAGGGTGGCGTACGTGAAGTAACCGCTCGATATGCAGCAGACTTCTCGCATCCGAACTTCCGTCGAAACAGAACTGATCAAAGTTGGCTGGCAAGAACACTCAGAAAGAAAGTAAGTTAATTTGTTGGAAGCTATATTAACTTTCGAAGTCAATTTAATCGACACATACGTTAGTTAGCTTTAGGAGCCTCTGCTGCCAATACGTCTGTCCAGTCTCAGCCCTTTTTTACAGTCTTGTTTGCTGCAAATGAAGGGGCGTTGCAAGTGGGATGGGTATGGAGCCGTGCCAAACTGTTTTCTATCTTTAATGAAGCGAACAAGTGACTGCGATGCAGACATTCAGATCAGTCTTTTCTGCCAACTGTTGTCGCTTATTCGCTTCAACGATTGTATAACTGTGGCGCGGCGCTAAACCCATCCCGCCTGATATGCCCCTTCCACAGCGAACGAGGCTCTATGTTTGATTTGGCTGGTATCGCTAACTTCAACTAGCTTTTCAGATGATTCGAGCAGAACCGAAGAGAGCCCAGCTTGAAGATGTTCAGCTTCGGCAAGAGCTTGTTAACAAACCTCTACCAGCCACCTTGTCTGAGTATAAGAACCACCCTTTGTAAGTGGGATCTAAATGTGTTGTTGATGCTTACATAAGAGCTACTTCTCGATAGATATGTTCTGGAGAAGGATCTTCTGAAGTTCGAAGGTCTTTATCCGAGAGCGGAAGATCAAAAGCCTTTGGGAGAGGTTCGAGGTCATAAGGTATACCCTCGGTCCACAGTATATACATTGCAAAGTGCAACAAACTGGATAAAGATGGCCAGGAGCGTGAAGGTACAATGGGGTGGAAAGGTGGACCGTTTCCTCGTTGCTGGATTAAACTAAACTCTTTTAGGAAGGGGAGAAAGCATACAAAGTGGTGAAAGCTCGGCCAAATTTGCGTGTTCCGGCTGAAGAGCGTGAGCAAAAATATTTGGACGTCTTTGGGTATTGGCAGACTGAACCATTCCGACGACCAAAAGTGATAGATGCGAGTTTACCTCTATTACATTTCACTTTTCTTTCTGAAGGTGTTTGAGCCGCAATTAGGTTGCACTTACACTCTAGTTCCCTGCGGACGGTTGGGCGTGTCAGCCAGTATGAGTGTGTCACCCTATCAGAGCCGTTCTCTGCCTTCTTGTTGAAGAGCGCATGCGACAAAAAGTGGTAGAAAACGAGTACGAAGCATATGATACAGTATTGTCACTTGCCCGCTTCAACAACTGGTGTAGAACGAGTTTGGCACCGCGCCAAACGCAGCCGCACTGACACGCCCAACCGTCCGCAGCGAACTACAGTATAGTTTGATTGGAAGGATTCTCAGTAATAACTCGCTGTTCCAATCCACGGTGAAGGCTGTGCACGATAGCTAGAGGTGGGCGGTTGTTGCTAGCGTCATTGGTGGAAAGGCTGCGATAGAGGGTTTGGCCGCACCCCACCTAGTCCTTCCCCCGATTAGGCAGCGTTCAGACTTCGCGACGGCAGCGCTTCGGTCGCGCGTTCGACGCGATCGATGCGCATGCTTTCGACTGCATCGATCGCGTTGAACGCGCGACCGAAGCGCTGTCGTTGCGAAGTCTGAACGCTGTCTTACGTTGCCAACAACCGCCCGCCCTAGCTGCACATTGTCTTCATGTCAAACGAATAAGGCCCCAGAGCATCAGTGCTTATCGTTTCGATTTGGTGAATATAACGATAGATAAACCAGCTAGCATTTAGGGCAAGATTCCACGAAACGATTTCGGCAATGTATACATGTATGTGCCATCTATGTGTCCAGTTGGAACTGTTCATCTGCGTCTCCCCGGTCTTGTATCTATTGCTCGACGTTTGGGAGGTCTGGAATGTGTTCCAGCACTTGTCGGATGGGAATTTAATTCATGCACGAATTTCCCTATGTTGGTAATTTCAATAGAAGTTTTGGATTTTGTTAAATACGGCGAGTATTAGACATCATGAGTTGTTTTCAGAATTGAAGGGGCTGTTGTGCTTGAAGAAGATGTCGACAAATTCATTACAGAATACAAACGAATCGAAGCGACCAGAGAAGAACGTGAAAACAAAGTGAGTTTTAGGATTGCGGCACACTCTGGTTTGGAATGTTATTCCTAAGCTGGATAATTTTTGCGAACGTGAGCCACCTTGGGGCGGTGTCTGAGGGTTCACGAAAGGTTTTGTAGCTCGAGGATCGCTGCTGTCGTATTCCTGCGCTTGGATTATTCTCTCAAGCTGGAGGTCCACTTGCCGTGTTATACTGGGTGCCCATGTGGTGTACGTTCACCACATCCACTCTTTGCCTCTTTTGCTTGCCGAAAGTGTTCTAAGGCTGGGAAAAGAGGGCTTTTGTGAAACGGCCGGCGTTACGGTGGCAGCGGTTCGTCGGACTTCGATTTTTTATAGTTTTGAAGGGAGCCTAGTAATTGTAGGCTGTGGTGAATGTGCTTGTTTATCTTGGTCTCCACTACACCATCATACAAATGTGCGTGGGGCGCGGTTCGGCACTCCAGTGACACCCGGCTGTCGTCCGCAGCGCCCACTCTAAAACCTTATCGCAAGAGTGTTGGGATGTGAGCAAAAGTCGGGCCTCGGATGAGATCGAACTCGCTTCTACCGCTTAACGGGCGGTGTACTCATTAGGCCACCGAGCCATCCTTACCCTCTCAGCTCTGAAGCATGTAAAAGCCTTCAGCCTTGCGATTCACTGCCGATATCGACTAAACGGCTCATCATGTAAGGCATGTGTGCGCTGTAAGGCTAGCGCAATGCCACTAAATGCCGTTCAGCTGAGAGGGTAAGATGGGCCCGGTAATGGATAACGCAACAGCCTGGTAAGCGGGAGATGCGGGACTGCTGTCCAAGGTCTGGCTTTGTCCATAACTCAGAATCTTGTAGTAAAGTGATTTTTTTCTTGTTGATTCTTTGCGGTGAAATAATAATTGTTGCCTTTACAGCGTCGAGAAGAACGTGTGTTTGGAAACTGGCGTAAACTCATCCGTGGAATACTTCGACTTCATTACGTCCAGTCAAAGTTTTTGGCAACAAAGCCCAAGGTTTGTAACCGTACGCATAAGGGGGGGGGGGAGCATCTTATGCATATGGTGTCTATTTGAGCCAGGTGGCATGAATCTCCTATAAAGGTTTGCACGTGCACTTTTTGGCAACAACGTTCGGCTTGGTAGGACCTCGTGGTACTTAGGAAGCTTGAGGTCATCGTGTGAAGACTTGTGAATTACTGTGGCCAAAGTGGCCCATCTATTCAGTTTCACGGCTTCACAAGTGTTCACATGTTGTTACTTTTCACTGTTGTCTTGTAAGCTGCAGGTTTGCCTGTTGGTTAACGTGAACGAGCAAGAGAAGCTAGCGAATGTGCTATATGCTACCCCCCCCCCTCTTTCCCCCTCCTTCACACACCCTTTTGGCTCTAATTGTGGTGCAGATTTCTTTTCTCACAACCTCACACGTCATATTCTTCCAGAAATTCCTTAAGGTGTTTTACTTCTTTATGCCATACCTGCTGACAGTTAACGTCGATTGCTCCGATTACCTTTAGGCTCAAAGCCTCAATCGTCCCCTTTTTTTCTCGTCTCAGGATACTTGTCAACCACGAAGCCTCTCTCCTCCTTTTTTCTCTTCCTCCTTCCTTCTATTCCTTCCTTCCTTCCATGTCCCTCTATTCCTTGACCTTCTCCAGCTTATGCCATGAGACAATACCACTAGATTCTTGCAGCGAGAGCATCTCCGGTTGACAAGTGCACTGTGCGGCCTTAGATTTTTACTGTTTTTCTTTTCTTTTTTTTTTTAACTTCTGATGGCCCATATTTAGGCAAAGGGAAGGAAGAAGAAAGAAGTGAAAGAGGAAACTGAAGAGCAGAATGGCGTCATCGACAGAACTGTTATGGCAGAGCGTCAAGTCTTTACCCATGATGACCTAATGAATCTGAAACGTTAGCTCCAGATCTAGAAAATCTACCTCGGTCATTTTTCGTTTTAAATATTTCGTTTGTTTCGTTTTTCATAATCTCCGCTAATCCTCACCTAACTAATCTCCTTACTCAAAATCTGATCTTCAACAACTTTAGTTGCTTCAGTCTTTTTTACCTTCTTGATGGGAATCGCGTTTCATCTCGAGCTGCTAGTTCCTGTCGCAATTGTTTTATTCTGAAATTGCTTACTTTTAGATGTACATAACTTATAATCCCCCTCCCGCCTGACCCTGCTAAAACTTATTTCCTTTTGAACTGTGTTTCTGATGAGTACAATAGAATTAACTCAGAAATGTATGATATCTGATGTTTGGCGCCCTTCTAGTTGAAAGGCAGCCCGACTGTGGGACGGAGTACGTTCCTCTCCGTCTCTATTCGGGACCGTATGGTCTCTAGTCGTCAGCCCTTTCCAGGGTCTGATCCTGCGGAGCGGAGCGTGAATGTATCGTCGTGCCGCCGCGTTAAGCCTGTCAGCTATGGTGACACATTTTGCTATACTTGGAGTTAAAGTCTTCGTTGCTGTTGAAATGACCTTAAAGTTTGTACATATGGATCTCATATTATTTAGATGTGACTCTCGAAATTGTTATAGTTTTATCTTAGTACTACGGGAAGCCCATTGTAGCTTTGATATTATCCTGATGTGATCACAAATGCAACAGTCTTCGTTGAGTTTATACTCTAACGAATTTCCATGGTTTCATCGTAGGGCTTTATCGAAGGCCCGATGAAATGTGCAATTCTATCGCACTTTTTTCCATGTTCAACGCCTGGGCTTGCTATTGTTGAATTGACCTTGAAAAGTGACCGTTATCGTTTTGTCTCTACCTCTCGTTGTGCTCTTAATCATGGTATCTGTGCTATAGAATAGCTTGTTCAAATGAAATTGTTGAATAAATTTTAGAATAGCTGTAGTCGCTTTGAATACTCTATTAGCTGTTGAAAATTAGCAGCTCTCTACTACATGAATGGTGTGAATCGTGCCAGTATGAGCTGTGCGATCCTCAGGATCAGTGCAGTAAACGGTTGCTTGTGTTGATCATTAGTTCTGGGTTGCGGCGGAAGGGGCGTGGTAAGACTGGGGTCACTCTGCGTTTTGAGGGTTTTGAGCGACTAGGAGAGTTGGATATCGATCTAGCGTTTTCAGCGACTGCCCGCAAAAAGTCAAAACTGCTCGCCTAAACGCTCAATAACGTTGCTGTACGCTCAAAACGAAATGCAGTTTAGCTCAATGAACTGAGTCAACCAAGTTCTCGTCGCCTGTCCAACCTGTCCCTGAGTTAGGTTGCGGGAGCTGAAGTGGTCCTTTCCCCATTTAGGCCGAATCTAGAAGAACGGAGACGAGCATAACCCCTGCGGCCTCTCCGGGCGCGGATTCCTGCGTGCATCCGTGTATCCCCCCGCACCTCAACTGCAGTTCCCGCACTAATGCTTCGTTGTGCGCCCCGCTACAACTAAGAGCCCTATGACTGTTGTAGCTAAAGTGATTCGTTTCCTTGTCCTGGCTCAGTCTGTAAGGCTGCAGGTGACCATGACTTCGCAACTTAGTCTTGCGCATGCGCGGCAAATATCACTTTTCCGTGACCCAACAAGAAGTGCTCTTTTACGATAGTGACGGCGCTTCGGTATAGCCCCTTGTGCGATGATGATGACGTTTTGATCACAAACTCAACAAAAATGTGATGATTTACAATTTCAGATGGTTACTACACGTAGGCGCTCATTGGTTGTGCAGATCTCGCCCAAGTCGACCGGCAAAGGGACTGCTCCTGCCAACGAGGACACCAATATGAGTCCGGAAACATCGCCGAGCTCTTCTGCCATAGTTGGTACAGATCAGAAGGAGGTGCGACGAAAACGAGGGCCACCCATACGGAGACAAGGTTGCGGAAACTGCGGAAAAGAAGGTGTCGGGTAGGCGTAGTTTACCTGCGATGAAGGCCCCTGCCAAAGAGAAGAAACTGCGACTAGAGGAGCAAGCGACTGTTATTCGCAGAAAGCGAGTGAAGAATGTGGACACCGAAGGTCCAATAGATGCAGCTAAAAGAACCAGTGAGTCTGTGCAAAGCGACGAAAAGGGATGTAGAGCAGAATTTCGCCTAACAAGGAAAGTGAGCCTCAGTGCGAGGTAGGTTCTAAGCTGTGAAGGAGGATCGGATTTTTTCCTCTGTTTTTGTCAAGCTTAGTTTCATAAGTTCTCTTTTTGCTCAGAATGAAACCGATGGCTCTTCCGTACCACTCAAGAAGAAGAAGAGAGCTAAATCGGAAAAAGCTCTGTCTGGATCGAATGATAAAGGTACCATTAATGCTTATACGGTTCATCTTTAGGGCATTATTCTGCCTTAACAGGTCGCAGCTAGATAGAACAGACACAGTAAGCGCGGTAATACAGTGCTTGAAGTTCACGGTATTTTCTAGAGGGTACCTTTCCCTATAATGCCTGTAGGGAGCTATTCGGGTGGGGGCATAGAACGATACTCAGGTGAGCTTGTACAGGCCTCTTTGAAAATCAGTAAAATCCTGTGACTGAAATGGCCCCTTTCGTACCATTTCGCATTCACGGGAGCTTGCATGCCTC